AAAGCGTCTGAAATTGGGTGCGTCTGAAGATTGATGACTTACTCTAGTAACAGTTTGTTTGTGTTATTAATTTATTATAGCATTATCCATATCTAGTTTATTAGATTGCAAGTAGGTTGCATGTATGTGTACACTGTATGCTTGCAAACTTTAGCTTTAAATTTTTGTCTGAACCTTACACTCTGTGCTCCTTTTGTCTGCCAGACAACTTTGTTCTGTTTGCAGAGGTCATGTCTGCAGGTTCTCAGTTATTCAGTATTATATATTTAATGGTATCCTCATTTTATGTGTATATATTCTCTATTGAAGTTGATTATTTTTGTAAAAGTTTAGTTCTAATAAATTTTATTTGATTGTCAAATAACTTCAACAAGTAAGTTTGAACCCAGTACATCTATGATGCCATGTATAGACGTACTGGGCTCATAACTTACTGTTGAAGTTATTTGACAATTAAATAGAATTTATTAAGACTAAACTCTACACTGGAAACAAATTAACATCAATAGCAAAATACACCTAAAATAAGGACATTGTTAAATATACTGAATATACTGAATAACAAAAGACTTTACGAAAGTAGAACAAGTAATGAGAACCTCATGACCACTACAAACAGGACAAAGTTGTCTAGCTCATTGTACAAGAAAAAGAGAGCACAGTGAGGGCATAACATTCAGACATGAATTAAAAGTAAACTTTGCTATTATAATGCAAACAAACTGTTATTTACTTTGCACTTGTTGACAGTTACTGTTACTAACTTCAATTTCACTAGTTTTGGAACTGCCTAAATGGCCAAAAATTAAAGCATTACAAAGTGCATTATTTCACTATATCAATACATAATTTTATTTGGAATCTTTATTGCTCTTACTAAAGTCATGACTCTGATCTTAAAATGATTTTCTTTATTCTATAAAACAAACAATAGTGGTAATGTTTCACTAGCTAGATCTACAATACACATAAAAAAGACTATTAATAAAATTAATTATTAATAATTGAGTTCAAAAATCTTCCTTATACCACAGTTGTTGATGAATGCTCAGTGTTCAATGCATTATCCAAACTCATTGTTAACTGTGTAGAGGTACCTATTCGGTTTATTTCTGTCTTGCTTCCAGATGAATTGTTATTAGAACTCACAGGATAATTGACTCTATCCCTTTGAGGAGGCTTTTGTAAAATTTTCCTACATATAAAAACAATTTTATTCTTAATTTCTGGTCTGAAATAAGACTGAACAATGGGGCTTAGTACAGTGACAAAAATAAATGAGATGACGATGGCCAAATATATTCTATCATCTACAAAAATTACTCGCACCACAGCATAGTTGATGATACCAGGAGTGAAGCATAACCCATACACAATTAGCATAGCCCCAAATATTCCAAACAGTCTCTTTTTTCTAGATGCATAGACATTGTCTCCTGCTATCTCTGACTGATTGTGTATGAATTTGCGAGTAAAGCAGAAGGTCCACACTGAGGTGACAACAATAATACTGACTACTAGTAATGATCCCAAAAAGCAAACTATGGCAAATTCAAGCTCCAGCAATATTATTGTACATGTACCATGGCTCCCTTCATATATAAAAGCAGCACCAGACCCTTTAATAAATGGAGTAAAAGTTACTACAGCAGACAGTATCCATATGGCAAGGGTGAGGGTCAGTGCTACCCAGGGTCTCATGAACTGCTTGTGAAGATGTGGTTTGACAATAAAGAGAAACCGATCAAATGATATAGCAGCTAGTGTTATGGTGATTACAGGAATACTGTACCACAGTGTATAGGCAACAAAGTCACATGTCTCTCTCTTCTCCTCATCTGTACTACCAAAGATCCACTCACCAGCAGCTAATGCAATGATAGTGAAAGGAAGGTACAGTAGATTCAATACAAGATGTGCCAGTATGAGAGAAGTGAAGAATATTGTTGATGATTGCTTCCAGGAATTCCTCTGAGTGATTGTAATGAGTAGTACCACACCATTAGCTATCAGAGCTAGAATCATCTCAGTGGCAAACACAGCAGCAAGTACAGGACCATTAACATCATCATTGAGGGTAAAGTTGTTCTCACTTTGAATTGACATTGTTGCTTGGCTAATGAAGACAGTGACTATGATAAATAGAATGTAAATGATCTCTATGACCTCTGTTGTCACGTTATATACTTTGCTTCAGTATGTCACATGGCATGTGGTATTTCAGTATGTGGTATGTCACAGTTAAATCTGATGCAGCTTTATATAATAAATTTTCCAAAAATTTTATGTCAGTTTCTACTTATATTTTTTTAGGATGGAAGTAGATCAAGTAGCTTATTTTACAATTTTAAGTTTTGAGACACAAAACAGTTACAATACTTATGATGAGCTTGCAGCTATAAATAGATTGGAAAACTATTATAAGGGTGTACATTGTATAGGAAGTTATTTGAGTTTATTTATCTAATTATAGTCATCAATACACATGTATTAGTGTGCATGGGTTTACATGCATTACTCTTGAATAAGGCCATGCAGGTATCCTATCACTGTAGCATCTGTGACCCTTGTATATACACACAATCATTCTAGCACAGACATATTGTACATGAAATTCAGTATCATTTGTCCTGTTAAGTTCAGCATGTTCAATGACAAGTGATAATCTGAATGATTAGCACAACTGGTTGGCAATCACTCCACTAAAACCAAAACAAAATAAAGAAGAGAAGGCGAAGAGCCAGAAGGAATCAACAGAACAAAGAATAAAACAACATGAACTTAACTAATTGAAACTTGGATGAGGAGAAATGGTATGCATGTACAAAAGAACATTAGAAATCATAGCTAAATAGCTTCACTAGTTTACCACAATTGTAGATCTATAATGGAAAGGCATAATGAATAACGTTTTACTTTGTAATTTTTATCTAATAAATTTACCAACACTAAAAAAATGACATTAAAACCATGAAGTCAAAACCTACTGAAGATAAGACAATAAAGGAAAGACCTAAAGAAGAAAATAGTTGGAAATTATTGTTCATTTTGAGGTGGTGAATACAGCCTTTTTCCAATCTGTGACACGATAGATTTTTTAAACCAGATTAGAGCATTCTTAATATCTGGTCGAAAGTACGCTTGAATAAGTGGACTTGCAACAGTGATGAACTGAAACGTGACCATGTCTGCTGCATAAACTATTTCATCAATCTCAACTACTGGGTATAGCATGAGCGTTATGTAAGATGGTCCATAGCAGAATGAATATGCAAGGAACATAGATCCAAATATTCCAAAGAGCTTTTTCTTTCGTGATGCATAAACACTATTATCTCCAACTATTTCTGATTGATCATTAATAAACCTTTGAGTGAAGCAGCATGTCCAGATTGATGTGATGATAATTACAGCAAAAGAAATTATATGTAAAGCAGCATGAACAAAGCTGTAAACTGGGCTTTTAATTAACATTGGAATGCAGGGGCCATATGAAAACTCATAGCTGTATTTTCCAAAACCAAGTAACGGCAGCATCAGCAACAGAATGCAGAAAATCCAGATAGCAATGGTGAGGGTCAGTGCTACCCAGGGTCTCATGAACCGCTTGTGAAGATGTGGTTTGACAACAAAGAGACACCGATCAAATGATATAGCAGCTAGTATTTCTGTAGTAACTGCAATATTCAACTGTATAATCAATGCTGAGATCAAGCAAGTTATACTTCTTTCTTCAAAGGTACTGCCAAATATCCACTCTTCAGCACCTATTGCAACAATGTTCATTGGAAGGTACCCCACTACAGCTAAGAGATTCGACAAAATGAGAGAAGTGAAGAATATCGTTGACGATTGTTTCCAGGACTTCCTTTGATAGAGTGTGATAGATAGCACAATGATATTAGCTATAAAAGCCACCACTGCTTCAACAGCAAGGACTGCTGCTAGTACAGGGCCATTGACGTCACCAGTTGCTGTAAAATTATGATACTCCATTAAAGAGTGACAAATTGTAGTATTTACAGCTATTGCTACTAGAGCAACTAATGCTGTTTATATAGACTATCACAGAAGAGAAAAAACATGTTGTTCTGTTTTTACACATTGAAGCATTTTGTGTCATTTGTATAAGTTTTCCTGTGACGCTTTTTTTGTCATGCATATAAAGATTAAACAAAATTGTTTCAAAAACAAGTCCATTTTTCCCTGGTGCTAAAATGTGTGTAATACCTGCTAACTGTGAGCATGCTTTTTACTATTATAATTATTTAAGTCATATGACTCAAGTGCTTGCCTTTTTGGTGTTTGTTTGTGGCAGGTTTGACTTTAAGTCAAAATAGTGCAAATTTACACCATGCAAGAGCATTTGCTATTTGTCACATGAAGTACTATATATAGCGCAAAATATTATTCTTTAAAACTAGAGGGACAAAAACAAACTCATAACAAAGTCAAGGAAATAATGCAAAGTCACTACGGTAAATTATAATGTACATAATACTGAGTTATTGCTTTTTTGTTATCTTCTTATAACAAAGCACTATGACTTCTTTTATGTCTTTTCTAAAATAAGACTGAATCAATGGACTAACAACTGTAATAAGGAAAAAAGTGATCACATTAAGAAAAAATACTTCACCTGGTATATCTATAGAGGAGCTTATAATAGAACTGATTAATGTCGGAGCAAAACAAACTGTGTATGCAAGTAGCATAGACCCATAAATTCCAAACAACCTTTTCTTTTTTGATAAGCATATAACAGTATCAGGATCAGCAGGCACTTCCACTTCAGGATGTACTTTTATGAATATTCGAGTAAAACAAAAGACCCAAACAGATGTGATGACAATCACTGCAATAACAAGCAACGAAATGGTGACACTGTAAATTATAAATCCTATTTCAACCCAAAGTGGTACACATGAGCCATACCAACGTCCATATGCATACGTGCCAAGCCCATAGAATGGAGTAGAGCTCAATACAGCAGACAGTATCCATATAGCAATGGTGAGGGTCAGTGTTACCCAGGGTCTCATGAACCACTTGTGAAAATGTGGTTTGATAACAAAGAGAAACCGATCAAGTGATATAGCAGCTAGTGTCATTAGAATAATGATGAAACTATACCAGAGAGCAAAGCCAACAAACCAGCATGAGGCTAACTTCTCTGCTACTGTATTTCCAAAAATCCATTTCCTGGCTGCCAGCCCAATGACCAGAAATGGAATGTATAATATCACCAGCAGGAGATTGGCAAGTATGAGGGAAGTGAAGAATATTGTTCCCTGTTTCTTCCACGATCCTTTGTAGATTGTGATACCAATTACAATAGTGTTGAATATGAATCCAGCAATGAATTCCAAAACAAACACAGCTGCCAGTACGTAAGTATTAACGCTACCAGTAAAGGTGTACAGAGTGTCATTCACTTCGTCCATTGTCTTAGAGATGTGGCAAGAAGGTGATACTTTTACACTATTCAATGCTAAGATGTATGATGTATTACTACATCTTGGTGTGCACTATAATAAGTGACTTTTCTCCTAACATAGATGCTACAAACTCCTACTTTACACTTATGAATAGCTATAATTACCAAAATATTTAAGCCAACACATTTATTCAGTTCCATGATCTCGTATATCTTCCCTTGTGAACAATTATGTTGACTGAGTAGTCATAAAGGAGACACGAGTCTGCTATAAAATAGGTGTACCACAAAGTCATAAAAAATTATATATAGAGTCAAGTCTAGACTATATAGTGTCCATTACAGAACAATGCAAGCATGACTAGATAGTAATTGTAAGACTTCATATCCTTAATATCTTGGCAAAACATTGATGTAGGAACAATAAATATCATGCATTTCCTCTTAGTGATAGTTTACGGTTCAATTGGCATTCCCATGCTGTGAATAACACTTCAAATAATTATGCCCATTTATAATCAATAATAATCCATAACAACTCAGATTTGACCTTAAAAAGGAATGATTTGTAGTAAATAATGTTATTACATCAATGTACATGGTCTTAACAATGTTTGCATACAAGAGATTAATAGCTATAGAAGGAATGAGATGATCTTTGTCACATTGTTAGCATGAATGCATCAATGGCAAGATGTTATTCAAATATATAGACTATTATAGTAAAAATATACAAGAAGGATAAATAATATTATGTAATAATGTACATTGGCAAGGAGGATAGGAATAAGGTACAGTGATCATGAAAAAGAATCACAAAAATAAAATAATCACAAGAATAATAATTTTGTCCTTTCAAACCCTGCATGATTCAGTCTCGTGATGATAGCGACCGGCTCTACTGTGATGTTCTTTTATTTTATGACGCATGCAACTTAAGCAGGACTTAACGTCGAGTCTAAAATACGACTGAACGAGAGGATTCCCAATAGTGAGAGCAACAAAACAAACAATGACAAAGGCATAAGCAGACCCAGGTAAGGACACAAGCTGACTTAAGGACCCAATTATGAAACCTGGAGAAAGACAAATTGTATATATAATGAGCATCGCACCAAATATTCCAAATAGTTTTTTCCTTGTCGAGTTATAAATGCTCTCGCTTCCAGCTACAAGAGATTGGTCATGTAGGAATTTACGAGTGAAGCAAAATGTCCAAAGTGATGTGACAGCAATGACACCAGTAATGAGAGCGAAAACAGCTAACATGAAGAAAACGTAGACTATATTTTCTTCCCAGAATGGAACGCAAGTGCCATAAGAGGTTGCATAACCAAATTCACCCACTCCAATAAATGGAGTAGAGTTTATTACAGCAGCTAACAGCCAAATGGTAATGGCAACGGTTAGTGCTACCCAGGGTCTCATGAACCGCTTGTGAAGATGTGGTTTGACAATAAAGAGAAACCGATCAAATGATATAGCAGCTAGTGTCATTGAGATAACTATAACGATATACCATACAGTAAAAGCAGCAAATGTACATGTCAGCCTCTTCTCCTCATCTGTACTACCAAATATCCATTCTTCAGAAGCCATTGCAATGACAGTCAATGGAAGGTACAGTAGATTCATAACAAGATGTGCCAGTATGAGAGAAGTGAAAAATACTGTTGATGGCTGTTTCCAAGAATTTCGAGAGGAATTCCTCTGAGTGATTGTAATGAGCAGTACCACACCATTAGCTATCAGAGCTAGTACCATCTCAGTGGCAAACACAGCAGCAAGTAAAGGACCATTGATGTCTTGAGCAATATAGGTCTGATTCATAGTTAGTCTCACACGTATACTAAAACGAGAAACAGCAACACTACTATATACACTAGCCCATATCCATGTTGCCTACACACTATGTGGTCCAACTTCCTGGATTAATATGACATCATTTAACCTTCAAAGACACCTGTCATAATGCTGTGGCTATTATGTTGTGGGTTGTGACATGCTGCATGAATATAATTTTAAAAACAGTATAGCAGATCCTTAAAGGATTTGACAAGTTGTACTAAATTTACAAGGAAGCTGAGAACAAGGAAACTTTCTAAACCAATAAATAATGCAGAGCTCCTTTCTCATTGCTAACATTATGAACTGGGTCAACTGGCTAAGTAACTTTCACATAATCAAAAACAGTGCATTAGTCTACTCTATATGCAGTAATAGCCAACAGAAATAAACATTTCTATTAGTGAAAATAATAACAAAAGATTGGTGAATAAAAACCCTTGATTAATACGTTAATCATCAATTGTTTATTTGTCAAGGCGACACAATGGATTCTTGTAGACCATCTCCAGGTTCACCTTGTGCCCCACCAACTCTCTTATATTATTTAACTTGTATTTAATCATCGTTGGCCTAAAAAGAGGATTGATAAGCAGTAACCACAAGATAATGACAATTAAAAAAATGTAGCATTATAATATAAACAAGCAACTACTTCATGAGAAATTGTAGAAGGAAACACAAGGAGGAAAAGGAGAGATAGAGTAGATTTGTCACACGCCAGTAAATCATTTTTTATTTTTGATAATAAAAGGTCAAAATAATATTTGCAAGCACACACAAAGCTAGTGCAAGAACAAGAGTAACAATGTGTCAACAACTACAAATAAACACTTCATAAATAATCAATTTGATAATGATGCTCTCATTGAATGGGAATACTGATGGGTTGAGTCTAATACACACACACACACTCTCAGATGTATTAACTATCCGTTGGCCCTCTAGTCAAGAAGTGTTTGAAAACAAAAATGGCAGGGAAACAGTTCATTCTATGGCAAAACAACAATGACATTACTACTTCATGCGTGTGTGACATCATAATTACAACTACCATGCCCACCTCTCAAGGGACAGGCCCCAAGCAATGACTGAGACGTCTTTGGGTAGTCCCATTGGCAGCAACATCTCAGGCCTAAAGATGCCAGAATTACCAATCTCTACCCACTTCTTGAGACCAGAGTGATAGCTGAATACTTCCATGCTAGGCTCAGTGTAGGGATTATAGGCTGGCTTGAATTTAAGCTTCTCGATACCTAAAACGGAATAAAAATACATGATTATTATTATTATTATTATTATTATTATTATTATTATTATTATGACAAACACAATAGGGAGGACAAAAGAGAGAGACAAAAAGTGAAAGCCTATAAGGAAAGCAAAAAAGAAATAAAAAAACAGACAGAACAGAAAGCTAAACTAAAATAAAAAACTATTATTATTATTATTATTAATATTATAAATAAAAAACAAGAATTAAGAGAGCAAGAAAATAGGCCAAAGGGGGAGAAATCCATACCACAATAGGGAAAACAAAAACAAACAAAAGAAATTAAAATTATTATTATTATTATCATAGTCATCATTCTTAATAGGATGTGATAAAAGTTAATGAAGTAATGCGATTATGACAACACAAAGCCTTATAAATGTAATTACTACAAACTTCTTGGCACACTTAAGTAACAAGGGAAATATAAATTAGATAAATCAAATTAGCGACAACAAAATATAACGAACACAATTAAATTTAAGAATAGTGAAATAGTCATAAAGAAGATGGTCACTTTTTGCATTTTTTAAATAGCGATACCAGTACTTGTTTAAAGCCAGGTCTAAAGAAAGATTGGACTACTGGATCAGCAATAATGCTCAACTGAAATACAAAGTAAATCACAATCTCTGCTGTACTACTAAAGGGAACATCAAACTGCACCAAAACTAAAGAAATAATCCTAGGACCTTTAGAAATACCATAGACGAGTAGCATAGCTCCAAATATTCCAATAAGACCTCTTTTCTTGGATGAATAAATATTACTTTCCACTACCATTGAGCGCTTGTGTAAGAACCACCAAGTGAAGAAAAATGTCCAAAGAGAAGTGATGACAATTATTAGTAACAAGCTAAGGATGAGGATTAAAAAAGCTGAAATGACAGAGGCATCCTTGATCAAAAATGGAAGGCACATTCCAATAGAAGCATTAAAACCAAAACCTCCAAGCCCATACAATGGAGTAGAGCTCAATACAGCAGACAGTATCCATATAGCAATGGTGAGGGTCAGTGCTACCCAGGGTCTCATGAACCGCTTGTGAAGATGTGGTTTGACAATAAAGAGAAACCGATCAAATGATATAGCAGCAACTGTCATTACTAAAACCAGTGATGAATACCAAAAAGTAAAAGCAGCAAATGCACATGTTCCTGTCTTCTCCTCATCTGTACTACCAAAGATCCACTCACCAGCAGCTAATGCAATGATAGTGAAAGGAAAGTGAAGTAAAACCATCAGGAGATTTGCCAGAATGAGAGAAGTGAAGAATATTGTTGATGATTGCTTCAAGGACTTCCATTGATAAAGAGTGACAGATAGAACAAATGTATTAGCTATAAATCCAGAAACTCCCTCTACAGCAAGAGCTGCTCCTACTGCAACATTACTGAAGTCACCATTATAGGTAAAATTGTTCATTACAAGCAACTTCTTCCAAGCAAGCTCCAAGGTGAATAGACATAAAAATTGATTTATCCAAGAATAACCCAACCCACATTGCAATCAAATCAATCACAAAATGTTTTACTAGTATAAGTCTAAATACAATGAAAGGGCAACCAAGTAATGATTAATAATTAGACTACCGTATAGCGGTTTTTTTGAGGATAAGAATTTTTGCAAATAACCCATATCTGGAAGTTTGTGAAATTAATTTTTGCGAATTTCCACTATTCTGCCATCTTGTACCATAGTAAATTGATTTTCGAAAGAATTTAATTCCACAAATCTTGGAAAAATCCGTGAAATTTGTTATCCTAAAAAAATGCTATATGGTATACGCTATAAAAAAATAAAAATGTCCTACAATTGGCCATCTACCATGAGGAGACAAGATGGAAAACCGACCCAACCATATCTGGACATTGGAGAGATATAAAGTCACAGATAGCTTCTGAAGTCTGAAAAAGTTAGAGGGAGACCAAACCGAGAACCAAGGTGATGACTGAAGGTATGGAAGATATAATAGCAGTGGAACTCTAGCCATCAAGAGACTCAACTCAGTGCAAGAGGAACAAACTCAACCCCAGCGCAATGGCAATTATCCAAATGAACAACTCGTTTATGGTGTTCGGCCACCAATAAAGCGGAACCCTGGGAAGATGCAGCATTAGCAATAGTCTATTGTTGGAGGGGAGAGATGACAGTAACATTCATAGCAGTAGGACAGCTCTGAGACCACAAGGGGAGGAAAAAGTCAACTGAACAGCTAGTGGAATCTGGGATAAGGGACTGGACTTCCTTACAAGGGAAAAGAGCAGCAGACTGAGCAGCTGAGAAAAAAATATTCCTTAGAGAGTTTGTCAAATTTATTGCCACCATTAACATTATTATTATTATTATTATTATTATTGGGAAGCTTTTAGTGATGAAGTGCATCTGTCTGTCTGCCTGTACGGGTAGTCTAACTATTTTAAAAGTTAAATAGCCTGATCTATACTCAAAGCGGGTGTGGTCACAATGAAATGAATGGTGGCTATCAGCTCTTTTGAAGCAAACCGTCAGCAAGATAAGACTAAAATGCCATCCAAAAACTTCTCTAGCAGCAACGAAGGTCATACAACACAACAATAGTGTGGCTCAGGGATTGAGCCCCTTAGTGTTTCACAATTTTCTATTTATTATTATTATTATTATAAAAACAAGAATTAAAACAGTGAAAATAGGGAAAATTGAGATAAATTACAACAAGAAACAAAAACAAACAAAAGAAATAATAATAATTATTATTAATATTATTATCATTATGTCATGGGTAATTAGTTATCATGCTTAATAGCTGTGATAACAGTTAATGAAGTAATACAATTATGAGACACAAAGCCTTATAATGCACTACAAACTTATTGGCAGAGTCAGGTAACAAAGGAAATAACAATAAGATAACAAGTCAAACAACTACAACAAATATTCGAATATAGAGATACAATTATTTAATTTTAAAATAGCAAAAGAGTCATGCAGAAGATGGTCACTCTTTGCATTTTTTAAACAGTGATACCATTGCTTGTTTAAAACCAGGTCTAAAGAAAGATTGGGCTATTGGATCAGCAATAATGCACAACTGATAAACAAAGTAAATCACAATGAGTGCTGTGCCACTAAAGGGAACCTCAAACTGAACCAAAACTAATAAAATAATCCTAGGACCTTTAGAAATACCATAGACGAGTAGCATAGCTCCAAATATTCCAAAGAGACCTCTTTTCTTAGACAAATAAATATTACTTTCCACTACCATTGATCGTTTGCGTAAGAACCACCAAGTGAAGAAAAATGTCCAAACAGAAGTGATGATGATTATCAACAAGCTAAGGATGAGGATTGTAAAAGCTAAGATGACAAAACCATCCTTGACCAAAAGTGGGATGCACAATCCAATTGAAGCAACAAAACCAAAATCTCCAAGCCCATAGAATGGAGTAGAGCTCAATACAGCAGCTGCTATCCATATAACAATGGTGAGGGTCAGTGCTACCCAGGGTCTCATGAACTGCTTGTGAAGAAGTGGTTTGACAATAAAGAAAAACCGATCAAATGATATAGCAGCTAGTGTCAATATTATAACTACAGATGAATACAAGAATGTAAAAGCAGCAAATGTACATGTTCCTATCTTCTCCTCATCTGTACTACCAAAGATCCACTCACCAGCAGCTAATGCAGTGACAGCAAAAGGAAAGTGGAGTACAACCATTACAAAATTTGCTAGTATGAGAGAAGTGAAGAATATTGTTGATGATTGCTTCAAGGACTTCCACTGATAGAGTGTGATAGATAATACAAATGTATTAGCTATAAATCCAGAAACTCCCTCTACAGCAAGAGCTGCTCCTACTGCAACATTACTGAAGTCACCATTATAGGTAAAATTGTTCATTATCAGTGCCGCTTCTTCCAAACAAGCTCCAAGGTGAGTAGATAAAAATTGATTAATCCAAGAACCCAACCCACATTGCAATCAAATCAATGGCAAAATGTTTTACTAGTATAAAGTCTAAATACAATAAAAAGGGCAACCAAGTAATGATTAATAATTAGACTATTACGCTATAAAAAAAAACAAAAAATGTCCTACAATTGGCCATCCACCTAGGGAGACAAGATGGAAGACCGACCCAACCACATCTGGGCATTGAACCGCTGAAGTCTGAAAAAGTTGGAAGGTGACCAAACTGAGTCCCAAGATGATGACCAAAGGCATTGAAGATATAATAGCAGTGGAACTCCAGCTACCAAGAGACTCAACTGCAAGAGGAACAAACTCAACCCCAGCGCAATGGCAATTACCCAAATGGACAACCCTTTTATGGTGTTCAGCCACCAATAAAGCGGAATTGTGGGAAGACGCAGCATTAGCAATAGTCTGTTGTTGGAGGAGAGAGATGACAGTAATATACATAGCAATAGGACGGCCCTGAGACCACGAGGGGAGGTAAATGCCAGCTGGGCAGCTAGTGGAATCTGGGATAAGGGACTGGACTTAGCGGCTGAGAATAAAACATCCCTTAGAGAGTTTGTCAAAGGTATTGCCACCATTAACATTATTATTATTATTATTGGGAAGCCTTTAGTGATAAAGTGTATCTGTCTGTCTGTCTGTACGGGTATTCTAACTATTTTTAAAGTTAAATAGCCTAATCTTCATTGAAAGCAGGTGTGGTCCCAATTAAATAAAATGGCAACTATCAGCTTTTTTGCAGCAAACGGTCAGCAAGATAAGGCTAACCAAAAACTTCTCTAGCAGTAAGGAAGATCATACAGCACAACAATAGCGTGGCTTGGGGTCTGAGCCCTTTCAAATGCTTTACATTCTTCTAGTTATTATTATTAGTAATAGGCTGTGGTAAAAGTTAATGAAGTATATAATGAGATTATGAGAACACAAAGCCTTATAAATGTAATTACAACAAACTTCTTAGAGTATAGCCAAGTCACAAAGGAAGTAACAATTTAATGAGAACAAGAAATATTCAACTATTAAAAGAGACACAAAATTTAATATCATAATAGCAAAATATTCACATAGATGATATTCACTTCTTGCATTTTTCAAATAGTGATACCAGTATTTGTTTAAAGCCAGGTCTAAAAAAAGATTGGACTACTGGATCAGCAATAATGCTTAACTGATAAACCAAGTAAATCATAATGAGTGCTGTGCTACTAAAGGGAACCTCAAACTGAACCAAAACTAAAGCAATAATCCTAGGACCTTTAGAAATGCCATAGACGAGTAGCACAGCTCCAAATATTCCAAAGAGACCTCTTTTCTTGGACGAATAAATATTACTTTCCACTACCATTGAGCGCCTGTGCAAAAACCACCAAGTGAAGAAGAATGTCCAAAGAGAAGTGATGACAATTATCAACAAGCTAAGGATGAGGATTATAAAAGCTAAAATGACAGAGCCGTCCTTGATCAGAAATGAAAGACATAGTCCAATAGAAGCAATAAAGCCGAAATCCCCAAGCCCATAGAATGGAGTAGAACTCAATACAGCAGACAGTATCCATATAGCAATGGTGAGGGTCAGTGCTACCCAGGGTCTCATGAACCGCTTGTGAAGATGTGGTTTGACAATAAAGAAAAACCGATCAAATGATATAGCAGCTATTGTCATTACTATGATCAGTGATGAATACCAGAATGTGAAAGCAGCAAATGTACATGTCCCTCTCTTTTCCTCATCTGTACTACCAAAGATCCACTCACCAGCAGCTAATGCAATGATAGTGAAAGGAAAGTGGAGTACAACCATTACAAAATTTGCTAGTATGAGAGAAGTGAAGAATATTGTTGATGATTGTTTCCAGGACTTCCTTTGATAGAGTGTGATAGATAATACAAATGTATTAGCTATAAATCCAGAAACTCCCTCTACAGCAAGAGCTGCTCCTACTGCAACATTACTGAAGTCACCATTATAGGTAAAATTGTTCATTATCAGTGCCCCTTCTTCCAAACAAGCTCCAAGGTGAGTAGATAAAAATTGATTAATCCAAAAATAACCCAACCCACATTACACATTAAATTAATGCTGGAGTAAGTAAATTTTGTTTTACTAGTAATTATACCATAAAACAAACAAAAATGTCCTAAAATGGTCACCTACTTGAGGAGACAAGGTGGAAGACCGGCCCAACTATTACTGGGTGTTGGATCTCTGTAAAGTCACAGATAGCCTCTGAGAAAGTTGGAGAGTGGGTTCAAAGGAAGGGAGAACAAACCAAATCCCAAGGTGATGGCAGAAGGCATGGAAGATAGAAATGGCAGTGGAACTCCACCCACCGAGAGATTCGACCGCAAGAGGAACAAACTCAACCCTGGCACAATGGCAATTATCCAAATAGACAATCCATTTACAGTGGTCGGCAATAATAAAGCGGAACCCTAGGAAGATGCAGCATTAACAATAGTCTGTTGTTGGAGGGGAGAGATAACAGTAACATCCATAGCAATAAGATGGCCCTTAGACCACGAGGGGAGGTAAATGCCAGCTGGGCAGCTAGTGGAATCTGGGATAAGGGACTGGACTTCCTTACAAGGGAAAAGGGCAGCAGACTGAGCGGCTGAGAATAAAACATCCCTTAGAGAGTTTGTCAAAGGTATTGCCACCATTAAACATTATT